CACTGCCATTGTTGATAAAAAGATGGATGGAGGGAGAAGGGGGGGGGGAGGGGAGGCTAAATAACAAACTTCGATCCTGATTTCCCCCTGATAGCATGACTTGATGAAAGAGATAAAAAAAAGAATCACATCTAAAAAAAAAATAAAAAAAAAAAAAAAAAAATCATATTAATAATAATCGTATTTAATTTCAGTGTTCCTCCTGTACTTTAGTTGTTTGTTGTTTGTGTTTTGAAGGGAGAGTGTGAGGAGGGAAGGAAGGAGATCAGCTGTAAATTAAATCATCTACTTCTTCAATGCGATTGCTAATGATGACAACTCCATTTAGCTTAGAATGTCTAAATGTATCTCAATAATACGGGTAATTGACAAAAACGAAAAAAAACGGGTCACACACACGTCAAGACTGCAAACAATTATCAAAACCATTACAGAAAAATGTTACAATTAACATCAGAAGCTCCTAGGTCAGCATTAACAATGATAAAATATCGGACTCTGTTCTATACACCTAATTAATTAAATTGCCAACCATTAAACAACCATCATGTTTCGTTATTTAATATATATTGTGTTCTTTTTTTTCCTCGTATTGGAAGCTGTTAACAAAAGGGCCTTTGCTATTTGTATGAAGGAGGAATAAAAATGTAAAAATGTAAGAGAAAAGATGTCCGAAGTCAGACCTCGCCTATTCAAACAGTGGCAGTTTGTCGTTTCAGCACTGTGTAACGAAGGGACGAATGTACCAACAAACAAACAAACAAAGAAGAATAAGGACAATATTACAATGTGAATAAGGAGGGGGAGAAGAAAAGAACGAATTCGAGGAAAGACTTTGAGCGTAATGACTTCAAGATACGAATTCGGATCATTGATAAATTCCTGGAAGTTTACGTCTTTCTTTGTCTCTATTTTTTTGGAAGGGAGGGGAGGATCATAGAAAACGGAGAGGGGATCATGCGTCCCTATCTTGAAAGAAAACGGGAAACTGGAAGAAAATGTGCAAGTGTTCGATTGAGCGAGGTTTGGCTTCGAATCTCATTGTGGTAGACTTTGATATATTAAAAAGCAACTCGTTGAAAAATACACTTGTGAAAGATCGTAAAGACGGAATATATTTCACAGGCAAATGAGGCAGTTATACATTATAAGACTATATACACACGCCAGTATATCTCGGTTATATCTCTTGGGTACAGTATACAAACACTGAATATTCCAAACAGACTTAAACAATACATTATATACCTGCAAATTTAGGTATCCACAATCTGTTTATTTTTTTTTATTTTAGGGGGAGCAATGTCTTCTATAACAGCCATATATTTTTTTGTGCTTTTTAAAAATTTTATTCTCCAAAAAAGCATTCTGTACATCTTGTGCCTTGTGTACAGCATACAGCAAGATAATATCTTTGCACATAATATATGCATACACTACAAGCCTCCACGACCTCTGTGGCGGCTGACGTTGGTGGGGGTAATATTTTCGCTTCCTTTGTCGGGTTTTCTCTTCACATATATTCCATTTTTCTACGAGGTGAGATTTTTTCCCTTTTTTCCAAAATAGTATATTTAGTTCGTTTACAGATACATATTCTCTCTCTCTCTCTCTCTCTCTCTCTTTCCGGTTCATAGCTCACATTGATATTTTTTCTCCTGTTTTTTTTTTTTCTTTTTCCTTTCGGACTGTCACCTAAAGTTCCTAATGAGTTTATTTTCCCCCTGGCAACGCTACGCTTCTTTCAAGAAAACGAGATTATGAAGTTTTATTTTTCATATCCTCCTTTCCCTCTTTCTCCAAAAAAAAAAAAAAAAAAAAAATCGTCCATCTTTCCTATCGCTAAACCATCAATGACAACAAACTTTATCCAAGCTTGCAACAATCAACATCAACCCATTTCATCTTCAACCTGTTACGTATAAATGTTGCAACAACCCTTTCAAATCGTGCTTCATTTCACCCAATCTCATAAAAGCACATCGTCTTACGTCCTAATGCTTCATCTTCGCTTTCAAAACTTGCTTTATCATTTTTTTTTTTTTAATCTCATTTCGTTTTCAATTTTATCCCCCTTTCCCCGCTCTAGAAGGAACTTTCCCGGGAGAAAAAAGTTTATAATTATCCCTCCTATCCTCTGGGGCGCTGATGGGTGTCCAATAGAAACTTATATATAAATAAGTTAGTGTGTGAGATGGTCTGCACTGTGAAGGAATTTTTCGAGAGCGGAAGAAATTTGCGGTCTGAGGGAAACGGAAAAATGGATCGTTTGGAGGAATTTCGTGTTTCTTTTATTTTCAATAGCCAATTTTGGAGTTGGAGGAGGAGGAGGAAGAGGAGGAGGTGGAGGAGGAGGAGGAGGAGGAGGAGGAGGAGGAGGAGGAGGAGGAGGAGGAGGAGGAGGAGGAGGAGGAGGAGGAGGAGGAGGAAAAGAAGAAGAAGAAGAAGAAGGAGAAGGAGAAGGAGAAGGAGAAGGAGAAGGAGAAGGAGAAGAAGAAGAAGGAGAAGAAGAAGTAGAAGAAGGAAGAGGAGAAGAGGAAGGCGAAGAGGAAGAAGGGAGAGGAGGAAAAGAAGATGACGAAGAAAGAGAGAAAGAGAGAGAGAGAGAGAGAGAGAGAGAGAGAGAGAGAGAGAGAGAGAGAGAGAGAGAGAGAGAGAGAGAGAGAGAGAGAGAGAGAGATTCTGAGTGAGATTCTGAGGGGCGATAAATCTTAAAAACGACGAACGCCTCCACCTCGACACATCACACACGCTAATTGAGTAGTTTGCTCGTTCCCGGCGCATAATTACGGCGGAGAGCAATGCCATTCCTCTTCGGCACCGGAAGTCAATTCGAGGTCGAGCCGGAAGTGGGCGGAGGGTGAAACGCGCCGAAGGGGGGGGGAGGAGGGAGGGAGGTGGGGTAGCATGGGGGGGGGAGACAGGGAGGCGAGGCGAAAGTCAAAGGGACCTCGTTTGACCTTGATCGCTGCCGGGGGGGGGGGGGGTCCCGTATTGGAATGTTGGTGCAATAATATCAATGGAAAGACGAAGAGAAGGGCATTGAGAAGTGAATGGAATGAGACGGGAAGGAGTAAAAAAAAAAAAAAAAAAAAAAAAAAGCAGAGGGAGGGAGTGGGAGAGAAAAGAATGGAGACAGTGAGAGAGAGAAAGAGAAGAAGAGAAGGCTAACGAGAGTTTGGATGAGAAGGATAGAGAGGTGAAAAGAAGAGGGGAAAGAGAAAAGGGACATTGCAGAAAGCGAATGAAAGCAATGAGACAAAACATTAAAACGAAAAATTGAGAAGATAAGCGATAGAAAACGGGGCAAAAAAAGTTTCACCAACGCCATCTATCTTTCGTGTAAGCTGTTAGAGATTAATTACCAAGACACGATATCCCTTTTAAGTCAAGGATCATTTCAAAGGACGATTTTTCACTCTTCCTTCTATAGATAAACCAAAAGCAATATTGTTGATTAATGAAACGATAAGAAATATAATAAGCGATTAGATCACGACTGCAATAATAACGACACAAAAGGCAAACGTATATACATCGTCATCATGATAATCTAATTCAATTCCAATTGTAATTATGATCTCATTAAAAACAAATTATACACCCAAAAGAGAATCCAGTGTCTAGAGAATCAAATCCAACTAAATCACGCCATCGGTGCGAATCTGACGCCATGGGAAAAAAATGTCGCACGATAATGTGGTCGTTGGAGTTTGATCCTTTATGCAAACTGAACTATAAATACACGTCACGGCGCTTATTGCTACGGCCTGATGCTGTCAGCTCCTCTCGCTCGGTGCGTGGGGTCTGATTCTGCTGCTGCGATTTTCTTTTGTTTTTGTTTTTTTCTTTGAGGGGGGGTGAGGGTGGAGGAGGTGGCAAAAAGGGGGAGGTTCATAGAGGAAAACAAAATAGATATAGATAGATAGAAAGTTATGCGAATAGAGTTATGATAGATAGACAGATGGATGGATGGATGGGTGGATAGATAGATAGATAGAGAGATAGATAGATAGATAGACAGACAGTTAGACAGATAGAGATAGACAGATGGACATACAAATAGACAGACAGACAAATAGATAAACAAATGAATAGATAAATAAAGTAACAGATACGTAGATAGACAGATATTTCACCATTCATACAGTAAAAAAAAAAAAAAAAATTAACCACAGTTCCGTTCGCCTCAGACCGAGTAAATCAATTGATCATCTTGTCTCATAATCACTCATCCTTTCTCCTGATTAAAAGACCATCTGTCTTACCCTTCAGACTAAAATCCTCCCTGTTCGAGCTCAACGTCCGTCTGCTCGGTTCGGTCAAAACAAAAGAAAGTAGATGTGCGAAAATAACCAGACTAGCTTAATGGTTTTCCCTTAAAAATATCATTTTTTTTTCTTGTTATGGTTCTCTTTAATATATATATATATTTTTGTCATTTGTTTATTTGCTTTCTTATTAGAGTTTTTTTATGCATATGAACTGTGCGGCTTATTTATAAATGGGTATAATTAAGAACTTGATGTGATCATTATCATCGTTATTATCTTATTAGCGTATTATTGCAGCTTCATCAGCTTCATCTGCAACGTAACGGTTACACCTTGACCATTATGACTATCACAGAAAATAAAAATCTAATTAATAATATCTTGGATGATTGGTAGAGTAATCGTTTCCTTTTCACAGTTATATCATGAATTATCAACATATTCCTTATCATGTATCTTTGCTCTGCTCTTATGTTTTTCTTATCTAACTTATCATTATATTCATTCTTATTTTAGCATCATTACTTAATATGTCGTCTCGTATACCTTCCTTTAAATACATAGATATGTGAGCTGATTACATTAATTTTTTACTTTGGTTTTCATTTGCTTTATATATATATATATATATATATATATATATATATATATATATATATATATATATATATATATATATATATATATATATATATATATATCGACACATATGTATACATATATTTTCGAATAGAAATAGTTTACATATCTTTTCAAACGGCGCGTTTCGGCTGCCCTTGACTTGTGCTATTTCTATCTGAAATCACATCTCTGTTTAATAATTCACACGAACGAACGCACGCATTGGAATATACCAACACACATCCTCACACTCATCCATGTACACATTAACGAATACTCGCATATAATTGGATATCCTAGCATGAGCACACACACTCCATCATTCTCTGTAGAATCACTTTTCTTTCCCAATCTTTTCTTCGTTTCTTACATATCTTAGATTTGACTTATCTCGTATGCATATTCATCTCTTCCTCTTTCACCACTTTTAGTACACCATGTCGTAATTCTCTTCTTCTCTCTCCTCTTCCTCTTCTTGTTCCATCTCCTCCCACCCCCTCTTCCTCCTCCTTCACGACATCATCTCGTAGGCGGTCTCCTCGAGGGTCTGGAGCCAGTTGAAAATCATCATATTTCTCTCGTATTTCGTGAGAGGGCGCCCGCGATCCCTCTCCACGTCGCGGGCGGTGAGGCTCAGGTTCTTGTTGTGGGCGGAGGCGGAGTGGGCGGGGGTTGGGAGTTCGACTTCCTTCTTGATGATCCTGAAGACGTCATGTGCGGCCTGTTGCCTTGGGGGCACCACCAGAGTCACGCCTCCACCGTCAACCTGGGAAAGGAAAACGAAACGTGGGTTTTAGTCCCGAGAGTTTCATCACGTGTTAGCATCGTTTTATCGTTTTGCACTGTGGAACCTGCTTGATACAGGTGATATTCGAAGCACAAATTCCTTCATGCAGACAAAACTGATTATGCAAGAGATAATAGTAAACAGCACAACAATGTAAGCAAAAAAAAGAAAGAAAAAAACATGTGTCTCATACACATAATACGCTGTACGTGAGACGCATTCCACATACATGATTCTCAGAAGCTTAAAATACACACACGTACATATGCACGGACGTAAACGCAAAACACACATCATTATTCACCACTCTCGACCCACCACACCCTCCTTTGCCCACCCTCTTCCCCCGTGGGTAGGCGGGAGGGGGGAGGGGAGGGGGTCGCGTGTCGTGAGGCCATTTCGAAAGGTATGCGGAACAAATGACAAAAAATTATAGTGAAGCTGAACGCGAAGACGAGAAGAAAGAGAGAGAAAATTATGACGAAGAAAATCATATTAATGAGGATGATGGTGATAATGATAATGAGGAGGAGGATAATGACCATAAATAAAGTTGATGATGGAATATGAAAATACAAGTGATAATGGCATTGATAGTAATAAGGAAATTGTTTAGGTTGATAATAATAGTAATGAATAACCACTGATAGACGAGTAAAAGAAATGAGGAGTGCCAGTAATTGAAGCTTATGGCTAATCATGCTTTGTGCTAGACACTAACTTTATGCTAGACTCCAGGTGACTAGACTCCAGGGGTTACTCTGCTCTCGCCCCGCCTTCTATCCCTATTGTGTTTGGATTTCGTAATGGCATACACACACAAGCACACACACACACACACACGCACGCACACACACACACACACACACACAGACGCACGCACAAAAGGCGAGGGAGGGTGAGGGTGAGGGTGAGAGAGAGGGAGAGGGAGAGGGTAAAAGAGAGGGAGAGGGCAAGAGAGAGAGAAATGGAAACAGAGAGGGACAGGGATATATATATATATATATATATATATATATATATATATATATATATATATATATATATATATATATATATATATATATATATATACATATAAACAGAGTGAGAGAGAGAGAGAAAGAGAGACAGAGCCAGAGAGAAAGAGGGAGACACACACACACACAGAGAATCAGACTGAGACAGAGACAAAGAGAAGGAGAGAAAAAGAAAGACAGACAGACAGACAGAGAGGGAGACAGAGAGAGAGACAGAGAGAGAGACAGAGAGAGATACAGAGAGAGACACACAGAGAGAGACTGAGAGAGACAGAGAAAGAGACAGAGACAGAGACAGAGACAGAGGCAGAGACAAAGGTAGATGCAGAGGCAGAGACAGAAGGATAGAGATAGAGACAGAGATAGATAGAGAAAGAGAGTGAAAGAGAAAGAATGAGAGAGACAGAGAGACAGAGACAGGGATTGATATATATATATATATATATATATATATATATATATATATATATATATATATATATATATATATATATATATATATATATATATATATATATATTTATATATTTGTGTGTGTGTGTGTATAGATAGATAGATAGATAGATAGATAGATAGATAGATAGATAGATAGATAGATAGATAGATAGATAGATAGAGGGATAGAGAGATAGACAAATACGAATGAGCGTATGTGGGTGTGCCTTTGTATTCATATTTGCTCGTACATGCACACATACCGTTGCATAAACAGGTATACAGATACACATCATCTGTCATGTGGCTGTTGTCATGTGTGTGTGTGTGGGGCGGTGGTAACCATCTGTCTGCCATGCGCTAA